CTATCGTGATTACCATTGATTAAAAGTCTAATAATTTAATCTAATTTGATTAGTGCTAATTGAATCGGTTTTTTAAATTAAACTGAAATCGATTACAATCATATCTTTTTCTTTTTACACAGGATGTCTAGTTTTTTTACAACAAGGAGGTCTCGGTAAGACTGCAAAAGTCCTAAAAGGGTTTGTGTCTATGTGTTTGAGCAGCTCCGTTAAACCTGTATTAAGGATGTGCTCGTTTGGCACAAAAATCAAGCTTACTTGAGAATTCAATATCTCAACATAGGAACATTATTTTCAGGATGTTTTACTAGTCACTCGATTTATTTATGAGCGAAATACCCGAATCTGGACCTAAAAAAAACCAGTAAAATATTCATAACTCGACTCTCAAGGTCTATAGGCATGAACTCATATAGGCTTTTTTCTAGTCTTACCAAAACCTCTTTATGATTCCAATAGGACTTTAAATGACAAGTATCAATTCGGATTGTTCCCTCGTTAGAACTAGGGATAGAGAGAAGGCGCAATGTGGACAACTTTCAAAACCAAAGAGACATTGTGTTGGTGAACTCCAAAAACGTGGAAGGAAGACATCACAACATCGAAAACCTCCAGTTGCCACTGCTTATCAATAAGGGCATCGGCTGACACTTCTAATTTAAAATACATTAAAAAAAAAGTTCGCTTCTTTTACTTCAATGTCTATGTAAATGAAAGACTATAATTCATAAAGTATTACACGTAATCATAAATTCTAATAAACTGTTTCTCAATAGGTCTGTGTTCTGTTTTAGATTAATGAGTTTTCGATTTTATGATTGAATCATGTAAATATTTACCTTGGATGTGTTCGATTATGTTCATCAATATGTTCACATTCATATTTATATAACATATCACTACGAATAAACCATGATTCAATATCAACAAGTTCAGGTGCATCATGTTGTTTTGATGATGATGCATATTCTAAGAAATACAACAATACCAAAAATAAATTTATCAAATCTGCTCTTACCATCTTCATTATCATCACCATCAAGTGAAAAAACTGATGCTTGATTTTTTTGTCGATATAGTTTATCAACTTTATCTTCTTTACTAACATGCCTATTTATCAAAAAAAAAAAACTAAATTAATTAAAAAAAAATCATATGGAATAAATAACCTGGTTGCTGGATGAGTTGATTCAGTTAATGATGTATGAGCTATATAATCTTTAACTTTATCTCTTACTTCTAATGATTTAGTTTTAACAGCACTTGATATCATATTAATAAATGCACTCGTCTAATAGAACAAAACAAAACAAAACAAAAAAAACAAATTCTTTATTTTGTTCGTTTTTGTGAATGTTACTTGTGTATTAATAACAGGTAATTTTTCTACTATATTATGTTTAATTGTCGATCCGAGAGATGTTTCATCATGTTTTTTTGTATTTTGTTGTGCTTTAGTTATCATTGATGGATCTTCGATTGCTTTAGCAAGAACTATTTACATTGAATATAATGAAAGAAAAAAAAAGACGATTTGTAGAACATACCTCTATAACCGCCGGATGCAACACTAACATATTTAATATTTCGTCGAAGAAAATAAGCAACAACCATGCGAACATATTTATCTTCTTCATCGCGACCCGAACCCATAAAACATAAATGTTCACCTCCAGCTGTTGATCCTAAAAAGATGACGTAGATGAAAAAAAATATTAATGCATGTATGTACGAATGATCAAAGATGAGATTGATTCTAGTGTTCTATTCAGATCTTCTCTTCTCAAGGGACAATTTAAAATTATCGAGAAGGCAAATTAGATTTTCAGAGGAGCTGTGGCGTCCACACTGGATAAAGTACTGATTGATTCGAATACAGAACAAACAGTTTGTTGTATGCAATAAGACAATATGTGGGAAAACAAAAGTCCGGTTTTATCAATTGATGACGCAATGGAGATTTTTAACTTTCAAGACGACAATTTTATTTTATGTTAAGCTAAATAAAACTTTGATGTTGAATATACTTTTTGCATTTATTTATGATTTCAAAGTTTTTGAACACTTATGAGAAAAGTCCTCCAAATGTTCAACTGCTTTTGAAATGAGACTATGCCTATCATGTCCACTCAAATGAGCTATGAATACTCTGACAAGAGTTCTATGTCCTTAACTTATTGCTACAAATATACTGCACGTCTACGATATTTTTTAACTAAATTTTGTAACCCCTTAGGAATATCAAAAAAACTGTTTTCCGAAATTCGGAACAAGAGTGATTTCATGTCTTTTGATTTCCTTCTATCATGAAATAAGAAAAGTGTCTTCCTATGCGATAAGTAGTTCATATATATTTTTAACCATGACTAAATGAAGAAAGGTATTGTTCTCTATGAGAAAAAAAAACCTTTCATCAAAATAGTTCAATTTCAAAGTTAGTTCTTATTTTGATCATACCAGCTTCAATCGCCTGTTTTTGTGTAGCAAGAAGAGCATCAACAGCTCCACCAAATTCTTTTGGGTCTTCAAGTAACTATAAAGAAAAAGCTTTTTTTTATGCTAAATAATAAAACAATAAATTTTTATTTTACAAGATTTGAATCGAGATGGAATGCTGTATAAAGATGTCTTGAATTGTATTGTTCAGCTGGTCGACAATCGACAATAAAATATCTGACACCTGCTGTCTAGAAATAATCATTTGATATCATAAGATAACAATAGAAATATCTACTCCGCCCAATTGATTTGCTTGAAGTAATTCTTTAGCTGAAACAGGTAAACATAATGTTTGATAAATTGAAGAAGCTTTTTGAGAAACTGAATGATCTGTTTCATCAAATACACATGAATAAAATTCCTTAGAAAAATAAATCGATAAATAAATTTTATATTTTTAAAAATTATTTTGATTTTTCTACTTTTCGAAATGATTGAGGTGTATTAGAAGCATAATGATTAGCTAATGAACAAAAATCTTCAAGATCACCAATAGTTAAATTTGATGGTGCTTTAGATAGATAATCTAATTAAATAAACATATAAAATTATTATGAAAGACTAATTAGTAAATAGATTTTTACTAATAATTTCATCTTTTTCTTTGTCAGCCATTTGAAACATTTGTTCTCTAAAAAATTTTTTTTATAAAAAAAAAATCTCTTATAGAAATAAATTCATTTCTTACTTAGCAAACATAAGTAATACAAGAGCAAGAAAAAAAATAAAAAATTGATCGGCATGCTGAAAATATCCATCCCAAAGATGAAATGTAACATCTAATGAACATGATCCAGCATACAAACTTCGAACCTACACAACAAAAGGAAAATAATTTATTAACAACTAAAAGATCGTCTACAATAAGGCCGTTTATTTTTCGATTAAAAGTGTACCAAACGATTATTAGAAGTGTTCTTAAATTAATCACAGTTGTTTTTTGTTTCAGCTAAATCACAAGAGATATTTTTAACAATCCTCTGGTAACTTTCAACCGAAATTAGAAACATGTTTATCGTAACCCGTTCTTTATGATTTATACCCAAATATATGCATATGAATCTGGGGTCATTTTTTTAGTATCAAAAAAGCTACATAATTCTGGATCATGATAAAGTAATAATAATCGTAATAAATGATATGGCGTTCCATCAGCTTCACAAAACCTGTAAAAAAAACTTCAATGCGAAATGGGCCTTATAATAAAAAAATAATTTCATACCGAGGAATATAACGATTACGAATATTAGCAAATAATGCATAAAGTTCAGCTCGATCTTTATATTCAAGTATAATCAATGGTTTCAATATATCAATCCATCCATTTCCTTTTTCATAATTTTCATTACTAAATAAATCAATTAATGATACAAAAAAAAAAGAATCTTTGTAGATTTCTATACTATTTTTTGCAATAGAATGTTATAATTGCTTCAATATCACTTATTTTTGATGCTTCAACATCTTGATTGATTTTTAATGAACCTAGAATATTGTAAATATTTCATTTAATGAATTAGTTAATATATTTTACACCTACGCACTAAGCGTAAAACATCTTCACGTATTAGATTTTGTTCAGGTAAATCAAATACATCACTATCAATATAATCATATTCATTAACATCATTAATATCAAGACAAGTCTAATATAAACAAAATATAATAAACATTTCTTATTGAGAAAAAACTTTCGTCCAGTCGACTGTGAATTATATATGAATTAAAAAAATTCCTATCGGTTACATTGAAACAGCTTGTGAAAGTCTTTCTACAGTTACCAACATACACCTTGAATTTCTACCAGTTAGCTAAAATCCGAATCCAGTCGAAGCGTGCTTTAATACTCTCAATGAAATTTTCTAATCGGAATAGGACAGCTACTTAGGTGACACGAAATACTTTGTTTCTGGCTTTTTATATTCGGTGACTACTGCATCCTACACATCTATTAAATGGCTAGAGTTCATCAAGTCTGGATCCGGTCAACAGAAACATTTCAGAACTCGACTCAACCCGACGTGAAACACTTGTTTTAGATATGAAGCACTTCAGTTATCAGTTCATTCATATGATCAAAATTCGATACAAAAATCTCTGAGAAGTCGTTTTTTTTTGTTTCTTACTTTCCAAACTGCTAAACGTAAGTCATCTGTTAATGGTCGACATTTTCCAATAGTTCGCACTGATCCTAGATCACATCCACGTTCAAGTGCTAATCGTAATTCATTAATCCATTGATTATCATGATTTTTTACATTATCTTCTTCATCTGTGTGAAATACTTCATTATCAATGATATTCAAATCTGATTCGTCTTGAAGATTAAATGATTGTTTATTTTCGTCAGACATAATCTGAAAACACAAAATAAAACGACAAAGAAAACAATAACTTCAAACTTTTGTTTTCTCAATTTCTTTTTTTTTCTGTTTGTTTGTAAACATCATCACATAAACTGTACAAAAGACATAAAACATATGAGATAAGATTGTTTTCTATCAAGAATCATCAGCCAAATCAAATTGACGAAATTTATCAAAATTGTAAAATTTTGCTTTAACAACACGTCCACCAAAATATCGTCCATTCATAGCGACAACAGCTAAAATTCATTAAAATAATAAATATCAATATATCTTTGCTCAGACAGTTATTTTTTGGCTCTATGATATGGAATCATGAATTTTTATATCATACCTATCATTTAAATCATCATAGCAAAGATTTTCCTCAATGAAGATTCGAACCCAATACCAAAGAATTTCAATCGAAAGAAACCATTCAACTAGATATTAGATAACTTACCTTTAATAGCTGATTCAACTCGTTTAAATTCATCAAATATTCGTACAGCTTCATCTTCAGGTGCTTCAGGAATCTTTTAAAATTAAAAAATTTAATAAGAAATACATATCAAATTTTTTCATATACATACTTCATATATAAGACATTTGTCAACTTCACCATATTTTTGACATTCTTCTTTTGTTTCACCTTAAAAATCAAACAAAAATTAAAATATCTTCGAAATAAACTAGAAAAAAAAATTTTACTATCAAGTAAATCATCAACTTCACCAGGACCAACCATATTCTTAAAAGAAAATTAAGTAATAAAATACATTGAATTTTCTTTTAAATATATTCATACTTTAAGTAAAATAACTTTCGTTGCTCCTTTTAATTCATCAGCTATATTTATACCGGAATCACCTTTTGGAATAATAATGGAAGGAGGTGCTATTGTTGGTGGAGGAGGAGGTGGTGGCGGTGGAAGTAAAATTGTATCTAAAAATATATTGATATAATCTATTTTGGATTTAATTAATTATTTACCTTTATTTGGGAATTCTTTTTCATGTACAATTTTGCCACCACGTTTACTTGTTTTTTCAACAATCTCGATAACCCATTTTAGCCATCATTTTAGCAACAGCAGCCACACTAAAAATAAATTATATATCATTATTTCTTAAGTTGATACTTCAGATCAAGAGGACACATGTTGTCAGAAGAAATTATCAGTGACTACTATATTCTTCTTTATCAAAGCTCTTTGATAAAGATTGATGTAAGAATGTCTCGCTGTTCAATCTCGTCAAATTATTGTTTTTCTCTAGCAGACTTCCAGTATTTTTTAACTTTCTGTTGTTCATTAATTCTTGAAAACATACGCCTGCTTTCCTAATCTTGACGACCTTAGGACATTCTTCGACTGATGTCATCATCGGTAACACTCT